CGAAGCTCATCAGCTCAGGCTCGGAGACTCCATACAACTTGGGGTTCCTGTAACTGGAACCCCAGTGGAGTTTGACTACATCCTTGTCCAGAGGCCCCTCAGAGACATTAAAAAATATCTGGCAAAAGTGTACAAAGAAGGTGCTAAAGCACCCTGTGTTGCCAAGAAGCCCAAGAGGAAGTTGACTGTGGAAGAAGCTGAGCCATCTACCTCAAAGCCCAAGCTCTACCGCGGCTCTCATGCAGACAAGTCATTTGCAAAGCCCTGTCCTCCATCTGCAGTGGAACGCCAGAAGAGGCTCAGTCACTGCCAGCCAGAGCAAACTGAACCCAATAGACAAGTCCAGGAAACAGACCAGCCCTGTGACCTAGGCAGCTTGCAGATGTACGTTGCACCTTGCCCTAGTCTGTCTTCTCCTGTTGTCATTACATTTAAGTAACAGGTCCGTGCAGATTGTCAGTCATACAGGTCATAGTAAGCTGAAAAAAATCAGGCCAGACAGTCATCTCTGGCATCCTCATGAGTGAACTTGATGTTGATATCCACAGAGTTGATATGCCCTCACTAAATAGGGGTGGTGGACTAAGACACAACTTGTCACCCATCTCTATTTTGAGATCTCTGCCCAAACATGTCCACCAGGACAATAGGCATCAGTCCACAGGTGAGGGTTCAAAGACAAGTAACGACGCTCACCGATACTGGGCTATAACGACTCAGTCGTTAGGGGACATTGTTGGGCATCAGAAGACTGAAACACCACCGATGGGGATAAATACGGTATCTCTGACTCGATGCCAGTCAGGCAGAACTGATGAAGCCTCTTGGATGAGAGGTGAAATGTCTTCGACCTAAAAATCTAGTCCAGTTGATTTTTCAATTTAAGTAACAGCTTAATTTTTTCTGAAAGAGAAATTCATCAGAATCAAACCCCGAAAACAAGGCTGGAGATAACACTTATTTACACTATTTTTAAATATATTGAATACTTTTTCAGAAATAGTGAAAAATTCTCTATCATAAGTTTCCAGTGCCAAAGATTTGCCTGATTTGTGCGAAAAACAGTTCAGAACCCAAAGACTCAACTCAACTCAACTCAACTTTATTTATATAGCGCTTTACCACAGCGCAGCTGACCAAAGCACTTAACATATCATACAAATATAAAAAAACAACACATAAAAAGCTATAAACAGTAATATAAACACTAACACTACAGACAGAGTCTCATTCCTGGTCAAACGCCAGTGAATACAAGTATGTCTTCAAATAAGACTTAAAAGTAGACAGTGAGGGGGCCTGCCTAACATAAAGCGGCAACGCACTCCATAGGTTTGGACCCACCACAGCAAAGGCTCTATCCCCCCCTAGTTTTCCGCCTGGCCCTCGGTGCCTCCAGAAGAAGCTGATCTAAGGCACCGCGACGGGTTATACGGTCATAAAAGTTCCACCAGATAAGATGGTGCCAGCCCATTTAAGGATTTATAAACAAATAAAAGAATCTTAAAACGAACCCTAAAACGCACCGGAAGCCAGTGGAGAGATGCCAGCACTGGCGTTATGTGGTCCCTCTTACGCCCCCCCAACCAATAACTGAGCAGCAGCATTCTGGATCCTCTGGAGGCGGGCAAGCCCCGATTGACCAACCCCAGCATACAGTGCATTACAGTGATCCATGCGTGATGTAACAAACGCATGGATCACTGTCTCCAGATGCTGCCGCGACAAAAAGGGTTTTAATTTTACTAACTGCCTTAAATAGAAAAATCCAGATTTTACAACCGCATTTATCTGGCTCTCCATTCTCAAATCCGAGTCTATTCTAACACCTAAATCAGTGACCACCGATCGCACATACTGCCCCAAAAAGCCTAAGTCTACAGGAAGAGGGTCGCCAGACATATTCTGGCCAAACACTATAACCTCCGTTTTAGCATCATTTAACTTCAAACAATTTAACGACATACAGGCCCTAATATCGGCAAGACATGCTAAAAGCGGTTGGATCGAGTAGG